GCAGGAGGGGAAGACCCTCTATGAGATGGATTGATTCGGTGACTGGGGTAATCGGGATGGGTGTGTCAGAGGCGGTGCAGTTGGCGCAGGATAGAGCAGGGTTTAGAGCTGTTGTGCATAGGGTCGCTATGAGTCGGAAACGACTCGATGGCACATAACAACAACAACAACAAGAAGGAATCCCTTAGTGATATAAAGAATTATGTTGCCAGCACAAAGGTGTGTGGTTCAAATCCACCGGCTGCTCTGTTAGAGAAAGGAGGGAAATCAACTCCTGTGTGATTTATTGCCTCTGAAAACCTGCTGGAGGGTTGGCTATGGGTTGGTTCCAACTCAACTGCACACAACAACAATATTGCCATGAGGCACTCTGATGGCATAGTTCATTGCACTGCTAAACAAAAGACTGCCCATCTCTGACAGTTCAAATCCACCAGTGGTGTGCTAGCAGAAAGATGAACAGTCTTCTCTGTAAGATTTATAACCTTGGAAATTCGATGTGTGTGTGTGTGTGTGTGTGTATGTGTGTGTGTGTGTGTGTGTGCTGATCAGAACTGACTCAAACCAGTGAATTTGAGCATGAGCATTGAATAGCACAACTTAGAAGATATTCCATAAGATATTAGAAGATATTCAAGACATTCTGGTCATCATCTATGTTGGTCTTTCCTGACACAAACACACACACACACACATACACACACATCCTCACATTTGTCTTCCACTGAAGAAAGCATCCATATTAAGTAAAATTAGGAGCAATGGGTATGGGCATTCCTTGGAACGAAATTTTATCAGCAAGACTGCTGGCCTAAGGACCAACCTAAGAATCTCAGTGTGGTGCAAACGATCAATGCACCCAGCTGCTAACTGAAAAACTGGACTTTCAAGTCTATCTGAAGAGGCCTCTCAAGAAAGACCTCCTGATCTGCTTGTGGAAAATCAGTCATCAAAAATCTGAGGGCTACATTTCTACTCTGACAGCAGTGGGGCCAAAGAGTTGGAAGACAACTGGTGTGTTGTTGTTTTTTTAATTTTTTTTAATTTTTGTGTGAGTGTACCGTCAAATCAGATCTGACTGGTACTGGAGGAGATTGCCCCTCCTTCCCTGGCAGAGCATCTGGTGGATTCGAACCATGCGCCTCTGGGATTGTAGTTGCAGCTCCTTGCCACTAGGCCACCAGAGCTCCCCTGACAACTGGTGTTTTAAATGAAGGAAACCCTATCATTTTTTCATGCATGTGGGTAGTAGAGGAGTAAGAAGAATCTGAGAGGTTTGGACCAGTGACTGGTACCATTGCTCCAGTCTGTTTAGTAGCCAATGTTAAATTGTACTGAAAGGATCCCGTGTTGTACCGTTAATGGGCGGATGGGGCTCAATGGGAGTGAGAAATGTGTGATTGAAGGTTACAAAAAGAACAGAGATACAGACCTTATCCAAACCTCACTTGTACTGCCAACCCAAAGGCAAGCAGTTCGAATCCATCAGGAAGCCTCCATTGGAGAAAAATGAGCCATCTCCTCCTGTACAATTCATAACCTATGAAAACCTGCTAAAGAGGATTAGCTATGAGTCAGTTCCCAATAGGTGGCAATGAATTCAGTCAGTTCTGTGAGTAAGGTATTATTTCTATTATTTCCCATGATCACATATCTAGGAAATGGTAGAGATAGAACTTAAACCCAGCTCTACTGTCTTCACAGCCTACTGCACCATCTAGACTTCCAGGGTATTGGAGGACTTGATTGGAGATATTGAAACCCAGGAGTTCAGTTTTCTTTCTCACTGAGAAGGTCTGATCTTCTTTCTTTATTTATATATTTGTTGCTTTCTTTCTTAAAGAAACATGTATGAGGATCCAAGGTGTGAAGCGGTGGGAGCAGAGGCTGAGGATGGGCAGGGGGGAAATCACAGGGTCACACAATTTGGTGGGTAGAGGTGGAGGGTAAAGGAAATGGGAAAGATCTGGCAGGGATATGGAAAGACAGGTGATTAATTTTATAAAACACAATGAGTGGGAATGATGGTATGAAACACAATGTGAATGAAGGATAGTGTGAAACACAATGTTACAAGCTTTGTATGCTAACCAATATAGAATAAAAATTAAAGATATAGAGATGATTAAAAAATGAAGAGGTAATTTGTATTTCTAGTACAACATCTGAAAGATAAAAAGAAGTGTATAATGAAAATGAAATTGCTCATCTTCCATTATCCCCAAGATACCTTCTTCGCTTTCTGATGGCAATCATTGACACAACTTGTCTGTGTATCTTTCCACAATGTTCATCTCCTTAGTTTCCTATCCAAGGTTGAATGTGAGAAAGCTGGCCTGGCCAAGAGGGCTCGGAGACAATATGTGGGATTGAATTAAGATCACTTCCCATCATATTTAGCCACAAAGCATAAAATAGGCAAAATTCACCTTCAATGCTCACTTTGTTGCCTTCAGAGAACCTTGTCCTCTCCATTCCCTACTCTGCTACTCACTCTAACTTGTCCTTCACTAACTAGGAAGACCCACCAACTTGAGACAATTTGTGTTCTGTTATATTTCTGGGGAGTCTGCTTACTATTCCCTGAGGGGCTGTCTTGACTGAGAAATTAATTCTTACTGAGGAATTCATGGGTGCCTGAGAATTGATGGGCTATGCTTTTCACAAAACATGTTTACATTTTAATCGGGGGCTTCAATCAAAGGAGTGACTTGAATAATGGGGATTTAAAATGCTCTATCACGACAAGCCAACAGGGCAGAATTTTCTTCCAAAAAAAGTGTTCTCTTCATATCTACTTCACCTTGAGGCTCAGACAAACTAGGTGCTCTGCCACTTTGACTACTGAAATTATTAAGCTCCTAGGGCAGTCAGGAGCCTGGTCTTTACTCTTTTTCCTTTAAGATGTAGTCACTTTCCATTGTTTTAAAAAAATTATTGTGAAGGTTTCAGTTCCCCATTTTACAATTTCTACACAAGTTGTTCAGTGACACTGATTACAATCTCCACAAGGCGTGAACATCTTCATTATTTTCGTTTTGCTTTTTCCACTTGCCTGCCCCCTTACAGTCTCATCTTTGTTTCAAAAGCATAATCGTTAACCCTTGGTCTCATATAGGTATTATTTAAAGGCATATTTATGGGCAATACTCATTATCTTTTGGGTCAGTTTGTTATTTAGCTACTGGTGGCCCTAAGGGTTCGTTTCACCTCAAAGTTTGAAGAGTTTCTCAAGAGAAGAGGCTCAGGAAGTCTTCCAGTTTCAACCAGTCTAATAAGTCTAGTTCCTTGGGGATTTGTGTGTGTGTGTTTTGTTTTTTGTTGTTATTGTTTTATGGAATTTGAGGTTTTGTTGTACCTTTTTCTCCCTGTCTACTGGAGTCAATCTGTTATAGTCCCAATAAGAATGGCTGGTAGTGATGTCTAAGCTCTGATCTCAGGAAGTGCTTTGTGTAGACTGTCCTATAGGGAGCTCTGGTGACTTAGTAGCTAAGGAGTTGTGCTACCAACCCAAAGGCATGTAATTCAAAACTACCAGCTGCTTCATGGGATAAAGTTGGGCAATCTCCTCCCTTGTGATTTACTGCCTCTGAAAATCCTCTGGAGGGTCAGCTATGGGTCAGTTCCAACGTGGCAACGAAGAACACCGCCACCATTTGTCCTACAGACTAGTTTCTGACAGTTTTGAAATTCAGAATCTCCAAAGCTTAGAACATCTCTCCATCCTTAATATGGCATAACTATAAGCTAAAATCTCATCAAAAAGAAGAAAAAATATAGACAAATAAGAGTATGATTTGTACTGCAATATTTACTGACTGCTACCTTAGTCTGCCCCTTCCAAATTAATATTTAGACAGGAAGTTGGAACAGGTTGCTTCGCAAATATTCAACATTTCACCCAATCTGGGGAGGGGGGGATGGCATCTCTGCTGGGATTTCTTGACAGTAGCTTTGTTTTTGAATGGAATTCATTTTCATTTCCACAGGTAATATTCTTCTCACACAATTAGGCACAGTTTCACCACTCAAGGGAGAGATGCAGTAGGGATCGTCATCAATGTCATCTATAGCAAAGGGGGGGAAAGAACATTTTTCAGCTGTGTCATTAGGGAGTTCATGCATAGTAGAAGCATAAGAGATTTGTACTTAATGAAGGAATGAATAAAGGAACTCCGAAGAAAGTGAAGATTGCAGTACTTTTCTTGAGGCTCTTCATAGAATTTCAAGGAGAGTTAATTCATCCTGCCAAATGTGTATATATATTCTTCCTGCATTGTGAATCACGCTGGTGGCTGAGTGAGCAGGAGTTGTGCTTCCAACCCAAAGGGAGCTGGTTCTAATCCATCAGCTGTTCCAAAATCCACTGGAAGGTCAGCTATGAATAGGTTTCAGCTGGACAATACATAACAATGACAAACAGTGTGATAGAGAGGCAGTGGAATAAAAAGACCTTAACCAAAGGAAGGACACTCATGAACAAACCTTGGAGGCCTCCCAGAAGTGACAACATGAAATGGAAACACACATATCTATACTCCCTATGAATTTTATGCTACTGATGTTTCTTTCTCAAGCCCAAAGGGGTCTATAGTATGGACTGTGCTTTTTTTTTTTTTTTTTTTTAGCTCTGTGCTAATATGATTGAGTTTCTGGCCACAAGTTTGATGGTAGCATTCATATTGACATTTTTGAACCAGAGAGTTAAGAAGCTGTACTATCTGCACCAGTGGCTGTCATTGTCACAAGTTACTAAGCATCTCAATAAGGTCCCCAGGTCCCTTGGTTCTACTATAAGTGTAACACTTGGTACAACATTCATTTGTTACCTCTCCTCTAAAGAACAGTACATACACCTTTGGACTGTGTATTTTGCTAGTGAAACAATAAATCCCAAGAACACTCAATACTAATTGTTTTGCAAAGGTTTATTTCTGATCACTCTTAAGTGTGACCTATTCAGGAGTTTGGATACTGTATGCTTCCCCTTTAAGGAGCTCTGATGGTCTAGTGGGTCAAGAGTTGCCCTGCCAACCCAAAGGAAGGCAATTCAATTTGAACCTACTACCTGCTCTGAGGGAAAGACAGGCAATCTCCTCCTCTGCAACCAACAGCCTCTGAAAACCTGCTAGAGGGTCAGCTATGAGTTGGATCTGTCTTGATAGCACACAACATGCCTTCAATACACTGTGACACCTCCATATATGCACCAGAGCATATCTGCAAGTTAGCTGCCCAGAGTTCGATGTAATCTTTTGGCCAGGAAAATGCCCTTCACACTAACCACTACCTTTCCCATACAGAGACAGATGGGGACTGATAGTCCGTGTGCTAGCCAGTCTGCTAAAGCCAGAAAGCGTTGTCTCACACCATAATGAAGCTGATAGACATTTTGGAGATGGTCCTTTCTCAACAACTCACGCTGAAAATAGCATGAATATAGCTCCAAGCAGGGAAGTGATGTGCCCAAAGTCACAGACTATGTGGCAGAAGAAAGTGATCCAAAGCCTTTTGACGCCAAGCTAAGTGGGTTTGTATGTGTGGGTTTTGTTGTTGCTACTGTTGTTTTCCAACATGCTGCTTTAAATTATGCAGCAGCCCTTGGAAACGTAGCTGTTGCTTTACGCCAACACAATGAAATATACACATAGATGAGGTAGAACTATGGCCAACACTCAAAAGGTGGGAGAATGACCATAGCCAGGTCCCCAAATGTGATCTATGTGTACGTACTAGAGCCTGAATGAAAGGCAATCAAAATCCACAGTAGCATCATCTAATTGGAAGTACTGAACTGAGTCATCAAAACTGAAATTCTTTCTCACTCTATTTCTCTTTTTAAAGATCAATTCTTTCCCTCTCAATACTCCATCCCCATCTCAACATCTATGTCTGCTTCTTGGAAGCTTCCCTCTGGTGGTCCTGTGGTCAGGGGCTGCACTGCCAACCCAAAGGTATGCAGTTTGAATCTACTAGCTGCTCTGGGGGAGAAAGATGGGATTTCACCTCCCTGCTTGGAGGGTCAGCTGTGGATCAGTTCCAACTCAAGAGTGCATAACAACAGCATGGCAGAGGATGAGCATCTAAGAATGCTATAGAGTGGAGATTGCATTAACCTGGGAGCCAGAAGACCAGAGATCTTGTCCCAGTTCTGCTGCAACTGGGTTGAGTGACAGTATAGAAGTTATTTTTCTTTTTCCTCTTTAGGTTTCCTTATCTGTAAAATTAGGGCATTAGACTAGGTAATGTCCAAGTTTCCCCTTGATTTTAACCAAACCAAATCAAAGCAAAGCTGTTGTTATTGAGTTGTCTCTAGCTCACAGCAACCCCTTTTGTTACAGAGTAGAACGGCAATTCATAAAGTTTTCTAGGCTGCAGTGCTGCTGAGTGGGTCTGAACTAACCTTTCAGTTAGTTGTTGTTGTTGTGTACCATCAAGTCAGAACTGACCCATAGCTGACGCTCCAGTGAGTTTTCAGAGGCCTTTAATCACACAGGAAGAGACTGCCCATGTTTCTTCTGCAGCGCAGCAGGTAGATTTGAATTAGGTGCCTTTGGGTTGCCAGCGCAACTGCTCACTCCTAGACCACCTGAGTAGGTGAGCACAAACTATTTGCATCACTCAGGGACCTTGGGTTTTAACAAATGGTGACATTTCATTCTTACTCCACTGATGTTTAAACCTCCAATATTTTCTCTCTTCCTTTGGGACCAATAATTAATCAGATTTACATATATTAAATTCACTAGTGTCGTAGACACACCTGCTCCATGGCTGAGCCCAGTACATTCATGTACATGTACATTTAGTATTTAGGGGGAAGCATTATCCAAGATCAGGTGCGTGATCTGCATCAATACCTCTGACATTAATTCACTCTCTCTGGAATAGCATTGTCAAAAGCTAGTCTTTTTTCTCTCACCATTGGGAAAGATTATGTCTGAAGGAAAGCCTTGTGTGGAGCCTAAAGATTTCAAAGTGGAATTAGTCGCAGTTGACTCGAAGGATAGTGTCAACAATTTATGTTCAAAGGTTTTCTTCAGTCCTTCCTGCATGTAGCCAACATTCATCCCGTATCTGCTGCTCGCATCTGAAATGACACCTAAAGAGTCAAAATACAAAACTCATCAAACTGTACAGTTAGAATGAGTGGATTTTATAGTATTTAAATTGTACCTTAGTTAATTGTTGTTCGTTCACATTGAGTTGAGCATGACCCATAGAGACACTATGAACAACAGATCTGAACCCTGTCCTATCCTGTACCATATTCACACTCCCTGACACGTTAGAGCCCACTATCATGGCAATCACTATTTCAATCCATTCAGTAGAGGGTCTTCCTCTCTTTTCCCGACACTCCACTTTTCCAAGTTTGATGTCTCTCTCCAAGGAATAGCCTTTCCTAAAAACATATCCAAAATGTGTGAAATGAAGCTTTATCACATTTGCCTCTATGGCTGCACTTTCTTCAAGACATATTTGTTCTTTTGGAATTCTATGGGATATTCAATACTCTTCTCCAATAACACAACTCAAAGGCATGAATTCTTCTTCTGCCATTCTTATTAGTTCTCCAGCCCTCAGATGCATAGCAAGTGCATGGCCTGAATCAGATGCACCTTAGTCCTCAACGGACATAATTGCTCCTCAATAATTTGGAGAGGTTCCTGGCTGCAGACTTTCCCAGGTGCAATATGTCTTCTGATTTCCTGACTGCTGGTACCAAGGGTGTTGATTGTGGATCCAAGTTAAGATGAAATCATCAACAACTTCAACTTGTTCTCCATTTATCATGATGAATCTAGGACTCTGAACAGTGGTGTTGGAGAACACTATGGAATATCACATGGACAAAAAGTATGTCTTGGAGGAAGTGTAAGCAGGGTGCTCCTTAGAGGCAAAAATGGTGAAACTTCATCTCCCAGATTTAGAGCATGTTGTTAGGAAGGGCCAGTCCTTGGAGAAGGGCATCATGCTTGGAAAGGTGGAGAGCCAGCAAAAGAGAGAAAGACCCTCAGTGAGGTGGATTGACAGAGTGACTGTATCACTGCGCTTGCAAATGGCAGAGCTTGTGAGTACATGCTGAATAGGTGAAGGTTCTGATCACTATGAGTCATAATGGATTCAAGGGCACCTGACAACAATAATATAAGAGTCTCTGATAATTCCTACACTTCAGGAAGGGCCATTGGTCCACTCTGGAATCTCATCAGAATGCTGATAAATTCTCTCCACCTCCACTACTAGTCCTCATTCCCATTGTTCATCTAGAAAACCCCTGAAACCTGGTGTTTAACACACAGTAGGCACACAATCAATGTTCTTTTAATTGATTTAAGGTTGTGGTGGTAACCAGGGTAAGAAACACAAAGAACATTGGCCCAAAGAATGGCTTCACTCAGTTAAAATGTGGTCCAAGTCACAGTCTCCACCTAACTTCATTCACCTCAGCATAAAATTACAAATTATTTTTATGACATGAAAACAGCCTCCATGTGAATGAGAATGTTGGATTAGCTCCAGTTAGGAGGCAAGTGAATTGGATCCATTTTGTACAGAATGTAAAATCCAGAACCTTATCCCAAGTGGCATCTTACCAGAAGAATTATCCAGCCGAAACCATCTGCAGCAAAGGTGCATCTGCCACTGATCTCGCACATTCTCCTTCATTGCACAGTGGAAGACAAAAATGAGGAAACCTATGTCAGGAAAAAAGATCAGTCTTTTTCAGCTCCTTTCACAAGCTATCCCCAGTATCCACACTCAGTCTTCTTCTCACCACCATACCATCTCCAAGGAACCTCAGGACTACTCTTGGTTTTCTTAACTTACCTTCCTAGATTCCCACTCAAGGACAGCTGGCAGGAAGGTCTATATCAAGAATTTATGTTAATAACACCTTCCCCCTGGGTTGCTGTCTACCCTAGAGTATGAGAGATCGAGTCTCCATATTCTGCCATGCACACCCTTGTATGCTATAGTACTATGCTATAGTTGGGCAAAAGACTGGTGGAACCCTCAAGACTATGACCTTGATTAGCCCTTTGAGCCCAGAACGAAATTCATTTTTGTAGATCACTTTTAGCCAAATGACAGACATATCTACAAGGTAAACAATAACATCTCATAGAAAACAAGACCTAACAGGCCAAGGATATATTTGACCAAGGATATAGCTCACAAGGCAGGAAGGGCCAGGCTAGACGGATGATCAGAAACAAAATCATATGAGGGAGTGGAAAGGGTAATGCTGCATTATTAGGAGTACAATTAATGTCATATATAAAAATGTGGACGAATTAGGAAATTGAAAACCAATTTGTTCTGTAGGCTTTCAGGCAAAACACAATGTTGTTGTTGTTGTTGTTGTTATGTGCCGTCGAGTCTCTTGCGACTCATAGCGACCCTATGTACAACAGCCCTAAACTCTGCTCTGTCCTGTGCCAATCGCACTGTCTCTGACACTCTCATCCCTATTATCCCAGTCACTGAATCAATCCACCTCATAGAGGGCCTTCCCCTCTTGCGCTGTCCCTCCACCCTCCCAAGCATGATGTCCCTCTCCAAGGACCAGTCTCTCCTCACAACATGTCCAAAGTATGTTAGACGGAGCCTCAGAATCCTTGCCTCCAAGGAGCCACCGGGTTTAACCCTTTCCAGGACGAATCTGTTTGTTTTCCTAGCAGTCCATGGTACTCTCAATACTCTTCTCCAGCACCACAGCTCAAAGGCATCAATTCTCCTTCTATCCTTTTAAAAAATTTTATTTTATTTTATTATTTTTTGTGTGTGTACCATTAAATCGGATCTGACTGGTACAGCAGGAGATTGCCCCTCTCTCTCCAGCAAAGCACCTGGTGGACTTAACCATGTACCTCTGGGATTGCAGTTTAGCTTCTTGCCACTAGGCCACCAGAACCCCCTCCCCCCAAAACACAATACTTTTAAAAAAAAATGTAGCATCATTTTCTCCACAGCAATAAAGAATGCCCTGCTTTTTGTCTCAATTCCACTATATGGAAAGTTCCCCTGCAAGTGAAAGGAGATGCTGAAGGTGTCGATCAGTAATGCTGGCCATTTCTTACCTCTCACTCTCTAAAATATCTTCCCAGAAGATAAAGGCAAGGTTCAAGATGACGCTAATCACAGGTCAACTGGGTTTCTTAAAGATGGGAGTGAAGTGGGAAAAGGAACCCAAAGTGCTTGCTACACAGATTCCCACAGTCTTCTACAACTTTAGTAATACCAACATGGACTTAAAAAATATTTATTTGGATCGAGGGACAATTTGGAAATCTCTATGAGGGCTTCCCCTTCCTTCTACACTGGCCACTTATGCTGAAGGTAAATAATTAGTGATGGATAGCAACAGGCTTAAGTCATTGAAATGAGTAAATGCCACTAATGCAAATGGTAACTGTCACTTGTGGAATTAAAGAATCTAGGCTGAAGTAAAAGTCCCCTGCCAGTTGTTCCTAGTTTGCCCATACCTTCACCACCACCATGTTTGGTTTGGAATGTTACATTTTAAGAGAAAGATGGCAAATGGAGGCATTCCAGAAAAGGTTGAACAAGAGCAATGATGGGCTTGAGTTAAAAACTGAACGAGCTGGGATGCTTTCTCTGGTTAGAAGAAAACTGTGAGTGGGGAGCATGAAGTGAGGAGCGATAGCAGCTATGGTCATAGATCTGAAAGGTCTGTCACAAAAAAGGCATGTTAGGCTTGTTCTGTGGAGTTACCAGGTTAGAACTAGGAGGAATGGGAGGAAACTATAATCAGTTTTGACCAATTCTGCTTCCTGGTTATCACAGAACAACTCTTAAACAAACCACAGTTTGTGATGGTGACCTAGTGGTAAGGAGTTGTATTGCCAACCCAAAGGCACGTGGTTCGAATCCACCAGCTGCTCTGTGGGAGAAAGATGGGCAATCTCCTGTGCGATTTACAGCTTCTGAAAAAAAAATCACTGGAGGGTTAGCTTTGAGTTGGTTCTGACTTGACAGCAAATAGCAAGTGCTTACTAAGCAATAGTAAGCATTGTAGGAGCTCTAGAGGCATAATCCACAGTGCATTGTGCTGCTAACAGAAAAGTTTCTTGCTTCCTGTGGTTCAAATCCACCAGCCAGCTAATGGGAAAGAGATGCGCATTCTCCTACCTTAAAGATTTACATCCTTGGAAACCCAACAGAGAGTTGTTATGTGTCTGAATTGACTCAAAGGCTGTGAGCTGGAGTTTGTTCTAACAAGCATTGTGCAATTAGTCTCATATTTACATGTGAAAGGTCTTGGAGACCAAGAAGTCTAGGAAACTCAACTCAGAGAGTAAAGATCCACAGCTATCATGGGGAGCAGTCCATGTCAGGAACAACGTCCCACTGTGGAGCAGAGGTCTTCACTGTATCTCAGCTAAGAATCTCTGGGAAGAAGTGCAGCTGATGAGCAGCTAAAGGCTTGGCTTTCTGGATGGTGAATTCTCCGTCTCTCAGGCAAAGAGAAGGCAGTGAATTCCTGCCATTGAATGAGAAGTCTGGCTCAGGGGCTTCTGGGCTCCCTGGCCCTCAGCCCTGAGACTCTCAGATTCCACGTGGGAGACGGCAAGTCTGTAAACGAAATGGAATGATTTGTCTCATTCCCTCCCCTAAGAGCATTCTCTCTATTTGACACAGAACAACTGCAACTATGGGGAACATTCAGTCTTTCTGAGCAGCAGGCACCTGCAAGGTGGTGCATATGGCAACACTTGTGAGCAAAGCCCAGCGATGGCGCAGGCCAAAGTCCCTCTTCATTTCAGTGAATGAGGGGCATCAGTGACCTTAAACACCATCTTGCTTATATCTCCAGCAGGAAGTTGCGTTAGCTCACAGACTAAAAGGTTATTCCATGAATGCCAATGAGCTGCCTGACAGCCCTCCTTTTTCTTTCCAATAACAGATTGATCTGCCCACTAACTAGAACAGAGCAGAAGGGAAGATGGCAGGGGTTTGCCACCTGCATTTTCATTTGGGCACCCTTCCTTCACAAATGGCTCAATATGAGCATCCTTCCCCACCCCCTGCCCCCATTTATTCACACCTGACCATAGGGCAATGCCCATTGGCCAAAACTGTGAGCTTGCCATCTATCATTTAAATGTTTCATTTGTTCACTTGTCTCATTACATTTTTGTTTTGAAGTTCTCTGAGCCAGGTGTCTGTGGGGAAGAGAGGGAAAGGTGTGTGTGGCATGTGGGAGTGTGGGGTGCATTTTGTTTGTGTAAGTTAAGTTTGAAACTCAAGGCTCTGAAAACACTCTCTTGACAGGACACCATGGCACAACCTAGCCTGCTGGCAGGACTAGGAATGCTTGGTGCTTAATTGAAATAAAGAATGGCTGACAAAATAGCTTTCTTCTGTTGAAGCTAAATCTTTAGAATTTTGGTTTCAGTCTTCAAGAGTTCTTAGTTGGATTCTGCTTCTATCCATGTGGGTGACCCGCTTAGACGTTCTCTCCCTTCCACTGTGGGAATGGTTCACACTTGCTATGTGGAAAACACTCCCTTTTTCCATGAATTCTCTTAATGGCATTGTTATTGTTCTTTTGCCATCCTTCCCTCTTTCCACATGCTGAGCATGATTTCCCTTAGCCTTGTTGGTATGTGCTGTCAAGTTGAAACTAACCCCTAGCTGACCCTCTAGTGGGTTTTTAGAGGCAGTAAATCACACAGGATGAGACTGTCCATCTTTATCCCACAGAGCAGTGGGTGGATTTGAACTGCAAGCCTTTGAATTGAAAGTGTAACTCCTTAACACTAGGCCAACAGAGCTTTGTTTTCTTAGAATTAGTGAGCTAAAAAGCAGCATAGAGTTGTTTCTGAGGACGATGTTTGCCCCAGTTCCTAATAGACTTCTGTGGAACATTCTAAATGAAGGCAGGTTAAGTTTTTTTAAGGTATTTCCATGTAGGCCAGGTAGTGCTACCAAGAAGGGTATAGAACTACCAGTGAAGCTGCAGTCAACAGTAGTGGATACAACCAAGTGCTGGTAGTCTCAAAGAAACCAAATGAGAGTGGTATGGAGTGTGACTAAGAATTCCATCCTTATCACCAAAGGGACACTGTAAAATCTTCCCACATCATACTTGAATATCAAAATAGTCTATGTGTTTCCTACTGCCAAAGGGGCCCTTTAGAGTAGTGAGAGAAGATCTTCACCCTGAAACCCCTTTTCAGCAGGAAGTAGCTAAGAGAATACGCCATCCCCTTTTCCTTATGACTCAGGGTGAAGTCTCTCTCAGGGAGGAGTGATAGGGAATGGCAAAGGACACACTGACAAAGAAGATTAATCAGAACTGGCTTTGACAAGCACTGTGGCATTTGGACAAGAACAAACTGGGAGGAGGGTAGAGAGAATAGTGCAACAATGAATGAATGGAAACCCAAAATCTCTGTAAATGTTTATGAAAATTAATAAAATATAATTATAGGAAAAAAAAAGAATATCACTGTTCATGAACATTGCAATGGACTGAACTGTGAATTTCATTTGGATGAAAAAACATCAGTAAGAATGGTCAGAAAATTAGGATTTGAAATCACATTTGACTTTGAAGACTATCTCTGCTATAAAGAGTGGTGTGATTTTCCTTCAACTGTTTCTTTATCAGGTGTAATATCTACTGTTTATGAGGATTAAACATGATTATGATTTTTTAAAAGTACATAGAAAAACAACATATTTCGTATCTTTTTGCATTTCAATTAGAATATGGCTGTTGAGTATAGTAGGACTGAAAGTTTCAGCTGGTCCAATTCATTGCTCTAAAAATGAGATGGTTTTATGAGTTATGAAATATAAGAGCAAAATCATGCCTTATACTATACTGTTTCCCCTCACTACAATACTTTGCCTTTGCCTGGCAGATAATAACTGTATAGCAATTCACATTTCCCTCAAGATTCTCATAGGCTCCTACAGATTACCTACTACAACTACAAATGGTTCTGTGGTCTTAAAAACATTGGGTTGGGTGCATCTCACAACTTGTATGCATTTCACCACCTGCATGCATCTCGCTGCCTGCCTGGCTTGACCAGCCAGAAACCCTTAACTCAGGCAACAGGGAGGTCTTGGCCACCTCAATGGAGGTAAGAAGCCACTTACAGAAGGGAACAACAGGCTTCCGTTGCGTTAAAAAAATCATTAGAAAACATTTAATTAAAAAATCAAAGAAAAACATTGGGTTGAACAAATTATAAAGGTTTAAAAAAATTTTTTTCAGAATTTCTCAGAAGTTTTATCATGCTAATATAAGTCCTATCATTCTACGAATGAGGCGATATAATTTACAGCATGGTCAACTTTTTAGATCACAGATCTATTTTCTTGCTAGGGTATCCAATGAACCCATCAATGGACTGCACTTTGGTAAAAGGGTTTGTTGAAAGAATAAATAATGGAGGACAATGGACTGCTCATGCTGACCACCTGCGCCAGTGAGAGCCCACACAAACTGGGCTAAGTTCAGGGATGTGGTAGGGAAGATGTGGTAGAGTTTGAGACTCCAAGGAGAGAATGTTTCATGCTGCTTCTCTCCCAAAATTTTGTAATAGACAAAATCAGGTTAAAATAAATAGCAATTATTGAAAGGTCTATCAACCAGATCTTCTCATATCATTTTGATTTGTCACTTAATTACTTCACTGATCATTTTCTTTTTGTCACCAGAAAACTGGAGGGAGAATAAAAAGCTACAGAACACGTAGACAGTTTGTTGTTGTTGTCATGGAGCACTGGAGGACTAGTGGTAATGAGTTGTACTTCCAACATAAGGGTACACAGTTCGAATAAACCAGCTGCTCCGTGTTTAAGATCGTCTAATTCAACTAGTTGTGATGCTTTTTTTAAAGTTGGTTTGTAGCAAAGCTACAACTGGAAACTTGGCCTCTTGTTTCGCTTTGGGTTTTTTTTTTAAATTTTTTTCCTTGTTATGTACCCTCGAATCAGATCCAACTGGCACAGGAGGAGATTGCCCCTACTTCTCCAGAAGAACATATGAAAGATTCTAACTGAATGCCTCCATTTGTTTTGGTTTGATCTTCCTTCTCCTATAACTCTTCAATCTCCTAAACTGGTTCTTTCCCACAGTATTAGAATAGACAATGCAGTCAGAGCCTGTGGGGACAAAACTTTAATGTTTTCACTCTCTAGTAGTTTCTATGTTGTACTGGGCTGGACCCTTCAGAATGTCAACCCAATTGTTAATCTGTACATTTATATTCATGATATGTTGATGAAAAGAATACTGTAAACGTGTTGCCACAACTGGGTGTGTGTTAGCGATCTGGCCTTCTCACTACATCCTGGATGAAGTCCTAACATCTATTAACATTTCCAGTGACTGCCTTTCAGCTCACTGAGAGCAGAAGCTTTTAGAATACTTCTTAGAAACGTTCAAGTCTCCTGGAGGTGAGGTTACCATGAGAATCAACAAAGAATTAGAAGAGATCTAACTAGTCACACAAAAAGGCACAGAAGTAACAGTTACCTTGCATGGTGTTAAAAATGGCAAAAAGATATAAAAAGAGGATCCTCACAGGCCCCCAGGCAAAAAAGGCAAAGCCCCAGGTGAGGCCAAGTAAGAATGTCAGGCTTGTCGTGCCTTTGACGTCATGCAGGATCATCTTCCTCCAACTCTTTTGCCTTTGGCCTTTCATAGAATTAAGTTGAGCCAAAACAGCACAGAACATGAAGAGATTCAGGATAAATACGAGGCAAAAATAAGCCACCACTGAGATGTAAAAGATAGAATCGTCTTTAATCCAACAACTGTAAGAGACAAAGGGCAAGTTGTTGTGAGGTGGAGAGACATAAACTCATACCTTTTTAATTTTTATATTAGGTTGCATACAAAATTCATATACAGTGTGTTTCACACATTTACTTCATTCACATTTTGTTTTGCACTATCATTCGCAACCACTGTGTTTTATAAAATTAATCACCATTGATTGCCCACTATGACTTCATCTTGATCTATCCTACTGCCCACCAAACTCTTGATTACAGCTGAGACTCTGAGGTCATTTTGGTTCACATGAGGACATCCAGAAATGGAAAGATGAACCGATTCTAGTTCACTCAGAGTGAACTCTGGTCTCCTCCTTGGTCTTCAGAATTCTTTCCAATGCCAAGGAAGAGAATCTAGATACTCCTACTCTCAATGTGTAGAAAGCTCCAAGTCCAAGTACCTAGGAGATTGCTCTCTTCCTCAGCAGCAGAAAAAAGAAATGATGTATTTTCTCCAAAAGTGGCTCCCTCACATCTTACACCTGAGATTTTCTTTACAGGATGAAATCTCCTTTACTTGATAGACATCACAATAAAAGGACAAGAGCAGTGAATGGCTTTTACAAATGCTAGATCAAGCAATAATGAAATTATCAGAGTTCATGAAAATGCAATAAAAAGAGAACAGCTCTGGTTGTCCTGCTTTAAAAGATGATATGTATTTTAAATCTCCCATCACAGCTACTGCTTTGGGATCCAAAAGGCAACACTGGTCACTAGCTTGATACGTGGATCAACACTTTTCTATTAAACAAGAAATATGCAGTGATTCATATCAGCACATGTTGTTGTTGTTGTTAAGGGCTGTCGAGTCGTAGACGACTCATAGCGACCCTATGAACGAAAGACCTGAACACTTGTATAATTTTCATCATTTCTCCAAGTTCATAGAGTTTCCAGAGGAAAGCTATTTCAGAAATGGATGCTACTCCTGCTTTCAAGCTTGTTTTAGGCACGGAGCTCCACCAAACACTGTCCACCATGAGTCAATAGAAAATAAAAATAAATTTAAAAAAATAAATTTAAAAAGGACATGGTGGATTTGAATTGTGTGCCTTCAGATTGGCAGCACAGTTCCTTACCATTGGATACCTCTTAAAGAATTTTTTTTAACCTCTTAGACTGTTCCACTTCTTATAAGTCAATTCACATTTAAAAGGGATGCTTGGTGGAGGAATGAGGGGAGTTGGTTTGTCCTAATTTTGCTCTTGCTTTTTATCTTTGAAGAGAAATCACTATTCATTAGACACTGGGGACTCTTTAATCACAAATTAAGAAAAAGGGAGGGAATGAAGATGAAGGGGGGAATGAGAAGAAAGGAAAGAATAAGGAGAGGAAGAGAAGAATAACAAAGGCTTGAATTTAGAAGGTATCTGCTGAAGAGGGTGAGGTTATTTTGACCCTATGCAAATGATCATCTCTATATGAAAGGGGAGAGGGGACGTTAGGAGTTGTCTGGGTGCCAGCCCTCCTCTATTTGATTCCAGCCCAGTGGGAGAGGAAATCTAATAGCAGAACAGAGTTTGAAAGGTGATGATAAAGAGAATGGTTAGGGTAAGAAGAAGGGAAAAAGAAAAAGATCAGACGTCTAAAATGCCCATGTCCAGTCTAAAGGACAGCAGGATAACTACTGGCATGCCTCATTTCATTGTGTTTCACTTTTGTACACGAACTCTGATACTTTGACAAATGGAAGGTTTGCAGCAACCCTGTGCGCTGCAAGTGTGTTGGTACCATTTGTCCCACAGCATGTGCTCACTTCATCTCTGAGTCACATTTTGGTATTTCTCACAATATTCTGGACTTTTTCATAATGCTATCGCATTCTTGATAGACCACAGTATAGTGTCAGTGTAACTTTTATATGCCCCGGGAAATTAGAAGAACAACAACAAAAAAATAATAAAACCTTCTGTGTGATATTTTACTGAGGTGGCCTGGAACGAAACCCACAGTATCTTTCTCTGCCATCTGCCTGTGTCTACATACCTGTAAAAGGCAGTTCTGGAGAGACAGAGGGGAGCAAGTTGTTACTCTCTTATAGCTGTGGATAAGAGAACCAAAGAGATGGGCTTAAATGGCAACAAAAATTAAAGAGATAAGAGGACAAGAAGCCTAAGGAGGTTTACAAATGAAAGCTTTGGGTCATCTTCAGTAGATGCCTTTGTTGCAGAAAGGTAGAAAATATTTTCTGGCTCATTTCAGTTACAATAGCCGCTTCAATACTCAGGTTTCACTCTGGAATTTATCAGTCTTTGGTCCTTTACCAAAGATGTCCGGAGTTGGAGCTTTTATGAGTTAAACGGCACAATAGCCGCTTCAACTCTATCCAGTGGTCTGTGATCTGTTATCACAAACTACCAGACATGTTGCACTTACCATGGTACCATGTTAAGTACTTTATCTGCATGATCTAATCTTCATTTGAACACATGGAGTGGAAATGTCATTATTTTTCAGAGGAGGAAGAGGAAATAAGAGGGAAAGTAACTTGCCCAAGGTCATACAGCATCCAGGTGTCCAACCATTATATGAATGGGACTAAAACTGTGTTCATGGTGAATGCTGAGGTTGCATCTCCTTGAAACCAGAAGCAAGAGCAAGCCCCAAGCCAAGAACACACCACCATACTCCAAAGGGGAAGAGAGCCATCCTTCTAGAAGGGGCATGCCTGTACTTACAATGGAGTTACTGGGTTCAAAGTTCCATACAGATCTTTTTTCACACTGAGTATGATTGCCACCAGAATAGCTGGGATTCCTAGAGAGGGAGAGGAAGAGGAAGGCAACCCATTAGGAAGTAGGGGACAGACCATAATCTACAGTATGGACACTGATACTTTAGAACATCAATTATACAAGACAAGGTTGTGTGGGCATCGAAATGAAATTGTTTGTAAAACGTTTGTGAATTCTTCCAAGTTAAACACGTCCAGGAGTTTTCCAATCTGCTAAACCAAACAGTAAGCCAATGGTTTCAATACAAAACCCTGTGGTTATTAAAAATAGCTCATTTGCAAAAAAATTTCAACTTGGAAATGAGAAGCATGTAGATCATTGGGATGCAAGTTCGCATGATGAACTTGTTCAGTTTTTTCTCCCTTTTGATACTGGTCCTATGTTCACTGTATATTTTTTTTTCTAGGTCATCTTGGAGGAAGGGTGTAGGCAATCACCTTCAATTTTCATTGCTTTCTTTTTAAACAAAGAAGCTGTTTCCACACTCATTACTAGTTTGACATTTTTACTAGATAGACCAGCTAATGAGCAGTCAATTCAGCAAGACTATAATAAAGCAATCAGCTGAGTCAAAATGGCCTAATGTGACGTGAGTGTAGACACAGGGCTTTAATATCCAATTTCATGTACATTTTCAAAACCTAAATAATTTCCTTTCTTTTTAATGTGTTTTCCTAAACTAAGATGATACACCCACACACAGAGCTTTCTGTTTCAGAGAGTTATAAACATCTTGAAAACTCCTTCACTGTCCTAAATAGGACAATCTCTTCAAATCTGTGTAGTGCTCACCATTACAGAGATGCTTAAAAACTACCTGTTGAAGGTCAAAAGGGAGAGATGGAGGGATGCCTTACATTTAGGACAGAAGTTGCATGGTGACCCTCAAGCTGTGCTTCCAATTGATCCTGACTGGTTGCTTGTCATAATGTGGACAAATCTGCTACCTTGGATGAGGATTTAAATTAAGATAAGAAAAAAATTTCCACAAATTCTATTAGAATTATGAAGACAGAACCAGAAACTCAAAGAGCTGCCGACATTGACTTTCTTACCATTATTGCAATATGTCTGACTCATAATGGATTAAACTACTGGAGGGTAACAAACACCTTGGCAACCTTGCATGTTTCCACTTATTTAGTGCAGGCAAATACAGAGTGCATTGTGATCTAGAAACACAAGGGGACAGGAGGTCTGTGAAGATTTGCTGAGGCCAACTTTCAGGCTCCCTGTCTCTGGTGGTTCTGGTACTTTTTGCCTTGCCCCCTCAGAATATTGTACTTGGCTGCTGTTTCATTGGCCACAACTCATGGCAACAACATTTACAATGGGAACAGACTATTGTGATCTATAGTTTTCAAAGGTTGATTTAAGAAAAAAAAACATAAATGGGCATTTAATTAGTGCCAGAGAAAATGTTAGAAACAAATGTAAAATGCTAAAAGTAACTCAACTTCTAAATCTATGCATCAAATGAGGCAGTACCTGTAACTGCACTAGCAGAGGCTAACACAATGACACACTAGAGACCAAGTAGCCAAATTGCAACCTTTCTAAGGGGGCATTTTCTTCACAGAAGTAAAAATAGAGTTACTTTTTGCATTTTACATTTGTTTCTACCATTTTCTCTGGCACTTGGAAGCAGATTACAAGATCCGTCTTAGTCTGGAAGCTTCATGAAATCTGCTTAATATCAAAGCAATATTCAGGGCTCCACTGACAGGTGGACAGTGGCTGCCCATGAAGCATACTGGCCAGGAATCAAACCTTCATCTCCTACATAGAAGGCAAACGTTCTAAACTGGCTTCACCCTTCAGAATAGAGATGAAAAACACACAACCTTAGCCACTCTAGAGCTAGTCTAAAACTCCATCCTTGGCAACAAAGAATCCCACAAGCCTGTTTACAACCAGCTGGTCCTTTTTGTTTGGGTATCATTCCTTTTAGTGCATGGGAGATGAAAAGTTACTTTAAACTGCTCTTATTCATGCGTATGATAAATCTAGTGGCTCAGAAAGCAAAAAGTCATTAAAAAGATACAGTTTGCAATTCAGGTATGTTGGGTAAAACACTGCTGTCTATCTATACCAAATGGAACCCTTTAAACTCAAGCAGAAGGGGCTGGGACAGCTCAAGCAGGCTGAGACACCATTTCTGGAAGCGAACAGGCTTCCTAGTTTGCCATTCAAGTACTTTGGGTGAAACACTGATGTCTAGCTTAAGCTCAAGCTGAAGAGGCTGGGCCAGGCCAAGCCAGCAGAGATGCAGTATCCAGAAGGGAACAGACTTCCATGTTCAGGTACTTGGAGTGAACACTGCTGTTTAGTAGTGTGGAACTCAGACCAAGAAGGGAGCACAAATATACAGGTCCTTGACAAACCATCGCCATACTCAAGATCACTATATAGTTACAACAACATAACACCTACTAAGAGAAGACTCATATAATGTCAAAGCAGAAGTTTCCCTCAGTCATCATGAAAAAAAAATTAATTAACTCTTCTAAAAAAGCAGACACAATGAATAGCCCCAATGGAGAGAACCAGAAGAAATATGTTGATGTGGAGTTATTTGAACAGCTATAGAAGATGCAAATGATGGGAAAAACAATGGAATCCATTAAGAGAGCAAATACACCAGAGACAACAATCCAGAAGAAATATATTGATGAAGAGCAACTTTAACAGCTATAGAAGAAAACACAAAAGATAAAGATTTGATAGTATAGATAAAGTGGTATGTTGTTGTTGTTAAGTGTTGTTGAGTCGTAGATGACTCATAGCGACCCTATGAATGAAAGACCTGAACACTTGTATAACTTTCATCATTTCTCCAAGTTCATAGGGCTTCTGGAGGTAAGCTTTTTGGAAGTGGATGCTACTCCTGCTTCCAAGCTTGTTTTGATTAGGAATCTCCACCAAACGCTGTCTACTATGGGTAATCATTATCTCATTTGACATATCAGTGTCACAGTGTTCAGCATCACAGCAACCACGAATTACCTCTGTACAGCAAATGAACAGATCAGTGCTGTGCTACTTAGACTGGAAAGTAGTCTATGTAATTTTCAGTCCTCTTCTCCAATACCACAACTCAAAGGCATCTATTCTTTGCATATTTGTTGAAAGTATAGCTTTGTGGTATAAGAACTTAAAAAATCATCACAAGGCAGAGAGGGTACAGCCAACACAGTACTGGAAATAACAGAAAAGCAAGAAAATGCAATCCAGAATTTTAAGATCAAAAGGCAGAAGTGTCCAACATGCTGGTAGGACAAAAAAAAAGTAGAACTGAAGAGATCGAGTCAGTGAGTTGGAAGACAAGAGCCTCACTGGAAACACACTAGAAGAAAAATCAGAGATGACACATGAAGAAAATACTAGAATCATGTGGGATGACATCAAAAGGAACAATAAATGTATGATAGGAATTCCAGAACATGGGAGTGACAGGAAAAGTACTGAGAAAATTGTGGAAGAGGTACAAGAAAAAAATTTCCTAAGTATTTTGAAGAACATGGAAATCCACATTCAAGAAGCACAGTGAACACCAAATAAACTAGATTCAAAAAGAAAAACATCAATACATATCATAGTCAAATTATCCAAATTAAAATATAAGGATACAATTCTAAAAGCAGCACAAGAAAAACAAAAAGTCATCTACAAAGGGGAAACAGATTAAATTCTGATTTCGCAGCAGAAACCATGCAAGCTAGAAGACAATGGAATGGCATATACAGAAAGTTGAAAGAAAACCATTGCCAACCAAGGATCCTACACCCAGTAAAGCTCTCTATCAAATATGAAGGAGAAATTAGATCCTTTGCAGAAAAGAAGGAAGTAAGGAATTTGTGAAAACAAGAGAAAAACTACAAGATATTTTAAGTGAAGTCCTTCACATGGAGATGTTGAAGGAAAGTGGATGGACCATAGTGACCAGAAATAACAGAAAAAGAAACACAGCAAAATGGCAATGGTAAAACCTGGCCTGACAATAATCACACTTTACATGAATGGACTAAATGCACTAATCAAGAGAAAAAGAGTAGCAGAATGGATAAATAAACAAAGCCCATCAATATGTTGCCTACAAGAGACACATCTAAAAAAAAGGGAGAAAGACAGATTCAAAAGTAAAAGCTAGAAAAAAAAATAATGCCAAGCAAATAGCAATCTCAAAAAAAAAAAAAACACAAAAAAGCACAGAAGTGAGAATACTAATCTCTGATAAAATATATTTCAGAATGAAAACCACCATAAAAAAATAAGGAAGGGCATTACATACTGATTAAAGGCACAATAGATAAAGAAGACGTAACCTTGATCAACATTTATGCACCAAATGATAGAACTGTAAATTAGATAAAACAACAGTTAACAGAATTGAAGAAAGAAATAAATAGCAACACAATATTGATAGGAGATTTTAACACACCACTATCATCAAAGGATAGGTCAACCCAAAAGAAACTCAACAATGATGCAGGAGACCTAAACTAGGCAATCAGCCAACTAGACCTTGCAAATGTAGTCAGGATATTGCACCCAACTAAAGCTCAATTCATTTTCTTCTCAAGTGCAAATGCTACATTTTCCAGACTCAATCACATATTAGGGCACAAAGCAAAACTCAACAAATTAAAAAACACTGAAATAATACAAAATATCTTCTTAGACTACAATGCCATAAAACTAGGAATTAACCACAGGAGGGTAAAGCATACAAAACCACCAATTTGGAAACTAAATAACTCTCTGCTAGAACACAGTTGGGTTATAAAAGAAATAAAGAATGAAATCTAAAAATTTCCTTGAAACAATAAAAAATGAAAAGGCAACATGCCAAAACCTCTGGGATACAGCTAAGGTAGTCCTCAAAGGGAAGTTCACAGCAAAAGGCACACACATAAAAAAGAAAGAAAGAAGAAAAATCAATTATCTAATGCTGCACCTTCATCAAACAGAAAAAGAACAACAATCTAATCCTATAGCCTCTAAAAGAAAGAAAATTATAAA